CTAGATAAGGATTCTCGCGCCGCTATTGGTAGAGAGAGATTGCTACAGAGAGAGGGACGGTGACAGGAAGTAGTGATAGAGGGATACTTTTGTAAATTTGACCAAAGTAGAATGCTGGTCAGTCAAGAAGGGCGAAATTCCAAAATGAAAATTTTTTATGGTAAATGTTCATAAAAATTCCAGTAAAATTGAATTTTTCTAAAAAACGTGACGTGATGGACATTTTTCATTATTATTNAAAATATAAAATTTAAAAAAAAAAAAGAAGAAGAAGTAGAAGAGGATATTCATTAATAAAATATAATAGCGCCATTTTCTTTATGCAAGTCACGTTTCAGATCTTTCCGGTGAAGAAAGGATATATATAAAAAAAAAATATATGAATTGAGTTTTAAATTTTGCTCTAATGCCCGCCCGACCATTCTTCGAAATTAAAAAAGTAAATTATGTCATTTCATAGTAAGTTGTCTTTATCTCTATTTAATTTTTTTTTTTACTAAAAAGTATAGTAAGATCTATAAATTTTCACCTAAAATTAATGGTTTGTGTATTATATATATTTGTGTATTACATACATGGAAAAAGATATAAAGATTTTTTAAAGGATAAGATATTTTTTTCTCTCCTCCTTTAAAAAATCTTTATATCTTTTCCCACGTTTTCTCTATATTTTCAACCTATTTTATAAGTTCTATGAGCAGTAAGTAAAGCAGCTTTAACAAAGCAGTGCATAATTTATAATGCTTATATTTAAAACATAAATTATTAAGCTAAACCCTTCATAGTTTAAAAACAAATACATAATTATGCAAAACTCTTCAAAATAAAACGTTTTATATTCATAGTTCCAAAAACAAATAATTACGCAAAAACATTAACATTCAAATTCCAAAAACAAATAATTATTCAGAACTCTTCAAAAAGATCACTAAAAAGTTTCAAGAAATCAGTTTTAAAGGAATTCTTAAGAAATTGAGGCATTGAAAATTCAATTCGTTCATGTCATTCTTTATCGAATTTAAAACAAGCATTTTAAAATGCATTATTTATTTTACTCATTTAAACATAAAATTATCATTAAATAATATCAAACTATCCAAAGTCAAGTTAAGAGTAATAAAAGATCTTTAAATAAATATACTTTCTATGATATGAAATATGCAAAATGATTTAAAATTCACGAAAATCATAGTAAAGAGAAAGTAAGTAAACAAAATGAAAAGCAGTAAAACACAGAATGATAAACTTTAGAATACATAATGAATGCAGATGTCCCCAAGTCAGCCAAAGGCGACGCTCAATTTGACATCTGGCGGGACGCCAAATAAACAACTTCTTGAAATCAATTTTTGTATTAGTTCTTCCCAAGTCCGATACTTTTGCATGGGATATTATATAAGTAATAATTGCAACAGCCCAAATAATTAATGCAAATCGCTATTTATTCATTCATATTAACGAAATTTTGGAATTCATGCATATTTATTTTTTCAATTTTAGGCTTAAGAAATATATGCTTGCACTTTAATTAACTAATGCGTTTAAGTTAAAATATGTTTAATAAGTTATAATATGAAGAAAAAAAGAAGTATGTTTTGTTTCGACATTTATTTAGAGATATATTTTATTGAAATAATGTGATGTTTAAAAATGCTAAACAATTTAAAAACTTCAAAAATATAAATTTTTCTTATTTAATGATAATTTGATAACTGATTAAGCCTCAAATTGATGTGAACTTATAATACGCACGGTACGCTGTTAGTAGTATCATCTAATGATAACTTCTAAACTGAATTAGCCACAAATCTGATGTGAGCCTATACGCATGCTAAACTGTTAGAAATATTATGCAATGATGATTTCTAAACTCATTTAACCAAAAATCTGTTGTGAGTTTATAAAGCGCATGGTACGCTGTTCGAAGTAATATCTACAGATAATTTCCAAACTGATTTAACCAAAAGATTTGATGTGAGCTTAAATTTCGTACTGTACACGATTAAAAGTTTAGAACCGTACTGAATCAAAATAGCGTTCAAATTTGCAACTCTTAATATGGAAACAAATTTAATCATATTGCCGTGTAAATAAATTAACTTCGTAACTTTGGTTACACGATAATAGGGTTCTAACTGAACGGATACCTGATTTAATTTAAAACTTTTGTTTAAGTTGCCACTTATTAAAACCAATATTAATTATGGTTTAAAATTAAACTGATTTTTCTGAGAGTTTTATTCAATATTTGGCGTCAATATTTCAATAGTTTTACCTATATTTTACTTTGCTAATTATTGAGATTATAAAGCGAGTGAACTAAATATAGATTTTTAAAAGGAGAGAAAAAAATGAATAAAAAAATTATATTGATTTTCTAAATAGTTATCGTTGAAGTTACGGATTATAATATGTACTGATGTATAAAATTTTAGGATGCATTTACTTTTATATTCATTAGACGCATTTGCTTATACAGAGTGGGTCAATTAAAAATCTAGCAGCCTTTAACGACTAGCATACCACGTTGTCTTGGATATTTTTCTTTTATTACCAATAATAATGTAAGCTTTGATTTCTTTTAAAAAATTTGTTACCTAAATTTAAAAAAAACTTTATTTTTCACTTTAAACAAATGTTAAGATGAGAGGATCGTTAAAGACCCTTGCGGGTGTCCTAAAAATGACTGATGATTCGAAAATTTAATTGAAGAAAAATGAAAGGATATAGAGATGTTTGTCTGCTGTTTGATGCATTTTATTTAGGAAATCATTTGTATTTATTTTCACCAAATTATAAACGTTAGTTATAAAGTTCCTCAAGAGATGACTCTGCCAACTAAAAAAAACTACAAAAATTTTTTCCTAAAAAAAAAAACAAACAAATGCAGCACCAACAAGGTAAAACTTGAGAACAAAACTAACAGTGCAAATATCTCAGTTAGCATGATCTGACCGGCGGTAGAAAGTACTGTTTCATAGTTTTTTTCATTAGAAGTGAGTCGAATCTGTGCTGTCGAACTTAGTAACAATTGCGAAAATGAAAACCTTTTTTCCTTTCAAGAACTCAACAAATTGTAAATTTTTGCCTGCTTATTATTTGCCTACTTTTATTTAATAAACATTTCTGGGATACCTGATATTAATAGTAAAATAAAGCTTTTGTAATTCAATAGAAACATGCCATATCATAGCAAACATTTCAACTTCAACTAAATAAATTAATCTAGTTTAAGCTTTTTTACTGATATTCACCAAAATATTGAAGGGAAAAAAAAAGAAGAAAAAAAACAGCACCTAAGCGAAAATTTATACGCATATATATTACACGTAGAAATGTTTTAAACACTTTCGAGCTCTACATTCACTTATTCAGTTTATTTAATTTCTGAGTAATTGCTAGATATAGATTTTGTAATTCGAACACTGTTATGAACGGCCAGTTAAAAATAGCTTAGTGTAACAAAAACGCTTACAAACATCTAAGATATTTCTGAGATAAAAATATAAATGTTTATTCCTCTAAGGAATAATTCCAAAGCGTTAGATAACTGCCGAGAGAAATCGTATACACCATATTCTGAGAGTTAAAGCTTTTAATGTGGAAAATTAAGAAATAGGATGGAAAGGGACACATTTATTCTAATTATTTAAACCTGTTTCGGTTTCTGACTCAACTAATTGAATCGCAAATGACATGGTGCAGTTTCAAATCGATTTCCAGACTGGGCGCAGGCTGTTCCAACACAAAATGTGTTAACGAAACTAGTCAAAGACAGTACTGAATTTTAAACGGTACGAATGATTTGCACCACAATTACAAATTTCGCTTTTATCTATGGTGTGTTTAATTCTCTCAATATCTTTAACTAGAATTCAAAATTATTAAATCCCTGAAAAATATCGAAATGATATACATGACTGCCAACATGGATAGGAAAAAAAAATCAAGTAGGTTTTACAAAATAATATAAATTTTATGATAACTGTTGCTAACATACTAAATATTTTACATGTAAGGAATTTTAGCGATTTTTATTGTCAACAAAATACAAAAGCTTTATCACTCTAATAACAATAGAGGGTCGGCAACATCTCCCGTTTATGATCGATATTAAATGAACTTGATTTTTATTATGTTAACTCATAATTTTTAATTGTATTAAAATTACAACAAAATTACGCAAGTAATTTATTATTGATGGTTAAAATTTTTTAAAATTAAGCCATAATAAAGAAGAAACATTACCATCCTACACTGAAGAAATCTCCAGTGCAACTGATGATCCTGTTGTTCTGCTAGCAGGAATTCCTTTCAAATAACAACGCCCCCTATAGGTCGATGCTTTCGCGAATAGCTAGGTTCACTAATACCTAGTTAACTTCTATTTAATCCTTTAAGTTTATATCTATATGCAAGCTGTAAGCTAATTCTCTCATCCTCATATCTTGCGGTTTTATGCTTTGAATGCTCCCAGAATTTTCGAGATGTCAACAAAGTGGAAATGTCCGTTTGAAAAATTTCCAGTAAATTCTATCTAGAAACTTTTTAAGTTGTTTATAAATAGAAGGGTGATTTTTTTTTTAAGGAGAGTGATATAATTCTGAAAATAGATTACACCTTAGATTTACCGGTTAACTTTCAATTATTGTTGAAACTATAACGAATTTATATGATGTTAATTAATTATGCTTGCTTTTAAAAGCAAACTTTGACTTTTTAAAAGGTTGTAACTCCCAGTAAAATGATTTTCTGTGCTCATGTGATAAAAAACGTCGCACTTCAAAATAAAAATAATAAGTAATTTTTATAAATCTTCAGCTCAGCAATTTAGAATTTAATAATAATTTTTTTAATATAGTTTCAAATGAAAATATAAATAAACCTTTATTTTTCATTGTGTAGCCAAAAAACCAATAACCTGACATTTAAATAGCAACGATATGACTTTTTCAAAAATAAATAAATAAATGAACTGAAATAAAATAAATTCCGCTTACCAAGAGACACTTGCCTGTTTCACTGAATCACCAATATTGTTTATAATCCAGAAATTGTCAAAAATAATAATTTCACACCACTAAAACACACAATTTTATATCACACATGTATTTTTATTTTAGTAATCCTTTTGATGCAACAAATTATCCAAAGTAACACCTAAAAGAGAGAGAGAGAAAAAAAGAGAAGAATTAATATTCTTTTTCAATGAATCATTACGTAATCAAATATTTAAATATGAATATTAACGGGTCCGAAGTACATTCATATAATGAGATATACTTTTTCATTACACTTAATCATTTATTCAGAAATGCTCATTTAGGCTTTAAAAGGGATGCACTGCCCGCGTTCTTAACTATGAACCTTTTTTTTCCTGTTTTTTTAAAGATTAAGAACATTTAAATTTATTATACTACATACATAATCTATTTGTGGTCAATTTCTTGGGCAGTTGTGGGAGAAAAACTACATATATATAGCCATAATTCTTTTAAAACCTTGACAATTGTAGCTTGCGTGAACACGATATCAAACAAAAACATCCCCCTTTTTATTTATTTTTAAAATTGTAACTAGGGTAAATCTTAACATTTTTACGGTTTTCATTAAAAATATATTTCGATGCGGACAGAAGTAATGATAGTGGTTTTGATTTTATTCATATAATAGGTTGTACAATCCAGTTTGCTTCGAAGCCAATATACCTATATAGGATGACTATATCCAACATTTATTAAAATGTCCAGAAAGTAATTCATCAGCATGAAACGAAACATAGCATGAAGACATCTCTCTAGGCTAATTAATCAACAAGCAAGAGAGGAACAATAATAAACCAAGTGGTTTGGCACATGGCCAAAGAGTTCTTCGACACTAAAACAACCGTTTGAGTGGCAGCATTGACGAGTAATCATATTAATAGTAACAATTATGTTCGGAAATAACTCCAGCGAATCATGATCGAAAGACCCCAAGAGAATCAACAAGCTAATTAATAATACCAGAACTCCCATGTTTAATGTATCTTTTTCGAATGGGAGTTGGAAGTCCTTATAAATCTACGAACTTAGGAAACGCCGAGAGTCGTTTTAAACATAAAAAAAAGGTCCCTCAAAAATCAATATTGAGTCACAGATTTAATGACACCGAGTACGAGTATAATAAACCAAAATGAGTACAAAAAATAATATTAAATGTAAACTAATTCATTATTTGAGCAAAAGGTGCACAAAGAAAACAATTCTGGTAAAATTACCGCGCACTGTTTGTAAATGACATTTCTGGTAAAAACAAATACTGATTACTTAAAGCAAAATATGCGGTATTTAAACCACACACTTGGTAACTTTTTCGTTTATATGGTAATTTTTCGGCTCAAATAGTTAAGATTTACTGGAAATTCTGATTTTCAAAATTATAATTCTTATTACCACACATTTGTTAAAAAATACAAAACTATAAAATAAATTGAACCGAAGAAATGGTTTTTATACCATTCTCTAAAGTATCATGATAGAATTATCCAATTTAAACATATTTACCAAATTTTATCACATATTATAAAATTAAATTTATTACATATTATTAATAAATTTTACCAAAATCAATGCCATAGCGCTTCGATAAAAATTGCCGAGCTCTTTGATGACATTCTAATGTATCATGATAAAATTACAAAATTCTACCATACATTATAAAACCATAATTTTTTATTCATTTTACTAAAATCATTACTAAAGCGCTTCGGTAAAAATTATCTTGCTTTTTGGTGTTTCATTGATCTAGAAACATAGTAAATTTTACCATGTTTTGACCATATTTTTTTTTCTCGATGCGTAATTTGATCTCGAATTTTTTATAGTATAAGAGTTGTAATTCCAAATGAGGTCACGAAGTTAGATCTGGGGACACAGAAACTATAATTTATTTTTTAAACCTTTAAATCAATAAATGAATGGGGGAAAAAACACGTTAAAAAGTGATTAGTTAAAACAGAAAATTGTAATTAAAAATTTATATTTTAGACGAAGATTTTACGTTCGGACACATTATTTTCGCTGTTTTAGACCTTCATGCATTAAATACGAAGAAAAAAGATGTGTATATATTTTCGTGGTCATTAATTTTACCTAACTAAAAACAACGAGAGCAATGGAACAAATAAATAAAATAAAAATTACAAGAGAATAGGATTAAAAATCACATTTTTGGTCACTGAACTAAAAACTAAATTTAAAAGTATAAATAAATAAAAAAATCAACAATTAAAAACTCAGAAAAAATTGGTTAAAATGTGCATTAATAACAAGAGGCACTGAACAAAGGAAAAAAGCAGTTTCTAAAAAATCGGTTCACTATTTCTACAGAAAATATACATCTTAGTTGACAATTTCAACATGCTCTGCTATAGAATATCTCCTTCTCGCCATTTATGCTCCTTTGTTTTACATTTTCAAGACGATTTAAGTACATGCGTATAGGTAGATCTCAAAATAACCATTCGCCACATGGCGCGGGTCAACAACAAAAAAAAGAAAGAAAAATAAGAAAGAAAAAAAAAAGAAAGAAGGGGGGAAGCGAGTTAATTAACCGCCCCCCCTTTTTTTTAAAAAAAATTATGGATAAAAGTACATCAATGGACTCAGGAAAACAGAAGTTTCAGGAGAATTCCTTAACAATTCACTTAGTCATTGATTAAACTACATCAATGGTGATCAATTTGTGATGGAACGATATATGTGAAAAGAGAATTCCTTAACAATTCACGTATTTCAAAGTTGTAATGTATACATTAAATGCATTTTGCCTCACCAAATACTTTAAATGTTCTTTAAAGTCAATATGTTTAACTAAATTTTGTTACATATTTATATTATTTTTATTGGTTAATTAATTTTTTTATAGCCGTACATTATTTCTAATAAGAATTTTTTGCAAAAATATAATTTATTCCAAGCAACAACAACAAAAAAATTTCACAAATTGTCGATTAAATTTAAAGGATCAATCAACCTAGTGATATCACTAACTTAGGTTTAAAGAAAAAGTGATCACTAAGTTATTAGAGTCGACCGACTACTAGTTAAACATTTAAATTTTCAGATCTAAGTATAGGTGCAGAATAAGATATTAGTTATACAGTATAACAGGGTACGTAGCTAAATCTTTCAACAAAAAATAAGCACCTTTTAAGTACTTTTGAAGCAAGCAAAAATAATTTTCAACGACTTTACATAATCATGATAAAATAACTATTTTCTGACAAAGAACCCTTTTCTTGATTATATTAATCCATTATAAAATGATCAAGGAATTTTTCGGTTCGATATCAGAGGATGGAAAATTAAGCTTGAAATTGAGAATATCTTGCAAAGTGCAGCAGAGTTGCACATGAGAGTGCAATGATCTCCCCGAATCCAGCTCAGTAGACGCACATGCGGACTTGCAAGTATTTCATCAAACGTGTAAAATGATTCGAGTTTTCATACGCTATGGAAAGATTGTAAATAGATTGCGGTTGAATGAATTGTGAAAAAGTTGAATATAACAATGTGGAAAGCACGTTTCTGCAGAAAATGTGGCGAAAATCGACATGGTAAAGAAAAAAAATCTCATTTTCGAAAAGGGAAAATTAAGCACCTTTTAAAAACACCCAATGAAAAAAGCATCTTTAAGCACTTTTTAAAAACGCTACGCACCATGTAGAAATCTGCACTGATACTAAACGCTCTATTTATATTAACATAAAAGTTTTAAATTTTTGAAAACGTAGCAACAGTCGAAGGTATTCGCAATAAATATAAATTCAAATACTATCTAATTATGAGCGTTTTTTGAAAGCAAAGAAATCGATCAGTAAAAGATTTATTAACACATTTGTTCCACTGACTAATAACATAACAAAATTAAACAAAAACTAAATAATCACAAGAAGCTGTAAAGCATTTTCAATGTTAAAAGCAGTCATTAGTTACTAATACAATATAACCCCCCTCAAGGTAAAATACAGCATTAACATAATCTGAAAAAAAAAAAAAAAAACTTTCTCAATCGATTTAGCTCATCCTCTCAGGAAGATTTTCGAAGCGGAATAAAGCAGATATTGAATAAAGGAAAAAAGGTTATCTTTTAAAAACCTCGTAAGCACACAATAAATAAGGTTAGAAAAATTACATCTTATTAAGTCTTCCAAAATTTAAAAGTTAATTTTCTGACGTAGGTACTCGAAAGACCATAAAAATGACACAGAATCTAATTTGGCGACTACTTACGCTTTATTAGATCATAATATGATTTTAATGCATTCTCAGAAAAATTAAAAGCCCTTTTTCTTCTTCTCAGAATTCAACACTTTTGAAGGAACATTTTTTAAGGGTACATGCCACTCTTGATGAATAATTAAAAACCGAAAGACAATTTTTTATTTCTTAAATCACTAAAAGATGAGAAATAAAAAGTGTGCAATTCAAGTTTAATATACCTTATATATGAGACTACACTTAAGGCATAATAGTACATAAGCTACATATACAATCACCATGTTTATCTTTCCCTCAGAATTTTTAAAGTAAAAAAAAAAAAATCGATTTCAAAGATTGTTCGTTGCTTGAAATATAGTTTTTCCACTTAATTTTTTTCTACATACATTAGTGGCACTATTTTAAAAATAATTTTACGCCATCTATTTCTTCAAAATTTTGCAGAAAAAACAGTCGCTTTCTTTATAATTTTTTTAAAATCCATACTTCCTTATTTTAGTACGCATGCCAATTGGTACTAAAGCGCAAATATAAAATTTTTATTTTTATTTTAGATCAATTGTTGGAGAGGGAAAAGACACTTTAGAAGGATTCCTAGGGGGGATTCAATGTGCGTGTTGCGAAGAAAAATAAATAAAAACAAGCAAAAAATAGATAAAATCGAAAATAAATTAATAAAATAAAAGAGCCTATTACTCCAGTTTTTTTATTAGAAAATTTCAAACAAAATTTTTTTTTAATGATTTAAATGAGCTCTTTGACGTAGAATTTTTATTGAACATTGCTTTCATACTTTTTTCGTTATATTTTGTTTATATAGGTCAAAATAAGTAAAAAATATTCTAATTAGCATTTTAGTAATTTATGGTTATGAAATACAGCACGACATATTGACGT